CCTCGGCCGGCCGCCCCGGTGCTCAGAGGCCCACGATGGACGCGTGGTCGTGAAGAGGGAGGCCAACCTCAGGCGTCCCCAGCCGCGTTCCTCACTGCCCTAGAGTCAGCCAATAAGGAAACCCCGGCACTCTGGTCTCCCGCTGTGTGTCCTGGAGCTAATCCCCTCCTTCTCTGGGCCTAGGGCACCGGTCCTGAGACAAACCTGGGTTTGAATCTCTGCAGTTTGACCCACACAGACTCTGTGTAATATCAGATCGTTCCTGGGGTGACTCTAGTCACCTCCTTCCTGGGATTGGGGGGCGATTAAATGACAAAGCACCTAAGCATTTAGCTCCATCTTGGGGCTTTTAAAGGCTCAATAAATAGTAACAGCTCTGATCATTTCACGGGATTGGACTTGATCAAGTAAGTTTTCATAATGAGCTAAACATTTAGGAAGAGCTTGGCTACGGGTTTCTGCCAACATTATTGTTCTGAATACTTTATGCATACAATCTTGTTTAAGCCTTGAAAGTTTTCTTTATTAGGAACAGAAGTTTACTGGTTGAGACAAGATGCAGACCCAGGTCATCTAAATCCTCATAGTCATCAGCTCTGTGCTCATGGAACTAGTTAAGATTGATAATGATAGCCCAGTGTCCCTCCCCAAGACCTTTCCCTGACTGAAAAACTCTTACTCCTCCTTCAAAACCCAGCTTAAATGTCCCACCTCTCCAAACTGTTTCTTGGCACCCATCTTCTTGACCTCTAGGGACGCTGGCAGAGCATAGAGGGAGTGCCTGTTACAAATTTCTCATGGAGCCTGCTACGGTGGCACACACCAGTAATCCTAGTAGCTCAGGAGGCTGAGGCAGGAGGATTTGAGTTGAAAGCCGGCCTCAGTAATTTAGTGAGGCCCTAAGGCACCTTAGCAAGACCCAGTCTTAAAATACATTATTTTAAAAAGGGGTGGGGATGTGGCTCAGTGGTTAAGCATCCCTGGGTTCAATCCACAATACAATAAGATAAAATAAAATAAAATAAAACTCTCCCACAAAAGAATGGGCAGAATATTTTCCCCCTGAGCCTCATCCTTTCCTAGCTACCAAATATCCCACTTGGGCATTAATTCTGGTCTCCTGTTGGGCCCTGCAGGGTCTCAAAGCACCTGACTCTATCCTCCCAGGGGCTGCTAAGTTACCTCACCAGTGCGATGCCTCACATCTTCCTGGTATCTTGCCAAGCCCCATCCCTGCCTGGCACCCATGAAGGGAAAGGAATCCGTGTCCCCTGAGCCTGCCGCGGGCCAGGCCGCTGGCCAAGCACTCCACACGTCAGCTCGCTCCCATTCCTCACTCCTCTGTGGGGAAGTGCATCTCAGGGATACCCAATGCCACCAGCAAGGTGGCTCCGAGAGCCGGGAGGGGTGGACTTCCAGACAACGAGGAGGGCTGGTGGGCAGGCACAGTTGGAACCAGATGCCCAGTCCTGCCAGGACATGGTCTCTCTGCCTCTGTCTCTCCCTCTTCCTCTCTCTCTAGATTTGTCTGCCACGAGGAGAGCCACGTGGCCGATGATGGGAGCCTCAGCACAGCCATTTTCTGGGGAGTCTGCTGATTAACGTGGCTCTAGGCAGTGTCCACTTGTTGGCCAGTCGCTGTGCCCAAGGTCAAGATCATGGACGTCATGATGGCCCTTGTGGAATCAGTGTCTGGGGGAAGGAGGGACGCTGGACGGATGGCACAGGGACGGCTGCCCTCCACCTGCCAGGTGAGGCGATGGGGTGACTTGTCGGCTCGCACAGCCCCTAGGTAGTAGAGCTCGGTGCAGACACAGACCCCACTGCTTTCCGCTGACCTTGACGCTCAGAGGGACGGATGAGTGAGGGCTGCCTCCCCCAGCTGCTCCCCCAGAGCTCTCCCCTGGGCCCTGGAGAGGCCTTTTCTAGAATCCCTCCTGCCTGTGAAGATGCAGAGGCAGTCTCTTTTCCAGGGGAGACAAGGTCGAGTCCTAGAAGGCCTTCAGGGGCCATCCTGCCTCGTCCCTGGGATGGGACGAGGCAGGTGACAGAACACGCTGGTTTATCCATCAGAGATGGGCGCCAGGCGAGTTGTGCCAAAGACACACACTGCAGGAGAGGATGGCTCCTACCCGCCTTTACAGGGAGGGAGCTGAGGCTGGGCATGGGCGCGGGAGAAGGTGAAGTGACTTGCCCGGGGACACGTCATTAGTGTCCTATCGATGCGTGTGATGTTATGACACACCTGGTTCTTGACGTGGTCCATGGATCCTGGTTCAAAATTCCCTCCCTGAGGCCAGTCACAGAAACTTCTGTCTTCCCTTTCTGTCTCACCTCCAGGCGCAAAGAGACTCTGACCTCCCTCATCCTATGGCAGGTCAGAGACCCTCCTCATTATAGAGGGGAGCCGCCCCAACGGTGGGGGGGGAGGGCTGCACAGAGAGGCGCAGAGGCCGTAGCCTGTGAGCATCCCTGGGGATCCGAAGGGACCGAGCTCTCGGGAGCCTCCCTCCTTAGCCAGGCCCTAGGCAACTTAGCAAGACCCTGCCTCAAAAAATAAAATAAAATAATGAAAAGGACGGGGGATGTAGCTCAGTGATGAAGGGCCATGGGTTCAGTTCTCAGTGCCAAAATAAATAAATAACAACATAATAAAATAAGAGTGTGTGTGTGGGGGTGACTTGGGGTGTGATTCCTCAACCTGTGAGATCTGGTGCCACCTGCATGTATGGGTGTCCAGACGGAACTGGACAGAGGACACCCCCTGGTGTCCCTGCTGCACAATGGCTTGTTTGCTGGCGAGAAGGCCCCACGCCTTTTAAGGCCACCGTCTTCTGTGTCACTTGGGGCACTCTGAGTGTATGGCAGGAGACCTGAGTCTGGGTTGGAGTTTGTTTTTTCTGCACCGAGGAACCTCACTGGTCACCCGGCAGCCTTTGTTTCCCCTAAGCCGCGTCCAGGTGTCGGTCAACTCTGTGGCTTGGACCCAGACAGGGGCTTTGGCTTCCGACTTCACAGACGGCTGGGACCTGAAGTTGGGACTCTTTTCTGCTGACGGATCGAGGGGTGGCAGTTGAGCCACATCCTCAACCCTGGCGAGAGGGGGTAGCTGTGCAACGCTCCGATGGCCTTGACCTGGGGCTGCAGGGAAGTGTCAGGTCTGCAGAGGGGGAGCGAATCCCTGCTCAGAGTCAAGTTCCAAAGCCACCTGCTCTGAGAAATCCCTGCCTTCCCTAGACAGTCATCGCTCAGACACCCCGCCCCCAGTCTCTCTGTCACCTTCCGGCACTGCAGACCTCCCCCGTCCCCCTCCCTCCTGACGCAGGTTTCTCAAG